TCTCACCTTCTCACTCCGTGACTCACTGTGGGGTGAGCTTTAACACCCAACTGGGCCCCAGTCTCTGTAATCCACTGAAAATGGGGGCACCTTCCTACAGTGAGGACTGTAGGAGTCAACACATTGTGAAGACTCTGGGAAGGCTGATGCAGAGTGGGTCATCCACAAATGCCTGTGTGTATTATTAGCACTCAAGAGCTGGAAACCTCCAGGATTTGTGGGGAGGGGTGGGGAGAGAGAGAGAGAGAGAGAGAGAGAGAGAGAGAGAGAGAGAGAGAGCGACAGAGACAGAGACAGAGATAGAGAGACACAGAGACAGAGACAGAGGACAGAGAGACAGAGACAGAGACAGAGAACAGGGCAGGGGCAGGGGCAGGAGGAGAGAGGAGGGTGTGCAGACTGGATTTGATGGATTATGAAGGCACCTCAGAGCTTGAGGGGCATGTGAAAACAGCTCTGGCAGACACGAGAGCCACAGAGCAATAATACTAAGGCTCTGGGCGCCTTCTGCTCTGGGTCATCGGAAAGTCTCCGGTCCTGAGAGGCTCTCCCTCCATAGCAGGACAGAGGAGAGGACAGAAGAGGGAGCTTGGTGGCACAGCCTCTCAGGCTAGCTCCATCCGTTCCCTCATCCCTCATGCCCACACAGCAAGGGCTGGCAGGAAGGGCTGAGGGTCTCTGGAAGTTGATGGTCGATAGTGTTTCAACTCTAAGACACAGTGACCTTCTTCAAAACAGGCAGGCCAGCCACTGACATCTTTCCTGTTTTGCTTTTGGACCCCACCTTAAGATGGTCAGGGCTTAGTCCTGGCTCCCTGCTAGCTTTCTTGTTTTTGTCTTGGGGCCACAGTCCACGATACTGAGAGGTTACTCCTGGCTCTGTGCTCAGGGATCACGCTTGCATATGGGATGTCGGGGATTGAACCCAGCTCAGACAAATGTAAGGCAAGTGCCTTATCCACTGTGCTTTCCTGTCCCTGAATTAGCTTTTAATAAATGACCTCCATCTGCCCTGGGACTGTGCTGGAGTCTCAGGTTGTTATGTGTAGGGAAGTCCCTTCTGCTTTCAGAGTAACGGCATCAGAGTGGGATGGAGGTGTGACAGACGGAGTTTGGGAAACACCCCTAAGATCCCCCACTCAAGCCACCCAGAATCTAATGTTGACCAATGTCCGGCTGCCTGGTTTGTGCCGTCACTGGCCTGCGAACCACTTCCTGGGCATTCCAACAAGGCCGGCAACTCCAGCCGTTCCAGGAAAGCCTTAATACCCAAAAGCACTCTGAGCACTTAAACACTGCTTATTTATGGGTTTTAATAGGAAAAATGTATGCTAATTGAAAAAATTAAAAATGCAGATGAGGTACCACCACCATGTCCACAGAACTAATGAATTTGAATCCACATTTCAACGTTCCTTAAAAAACAGAAAAATAGGGGGGTGGAGTAATGGCACAGCGAGTGGGGCATTTGCCTTGCGTGTGGCTGACCCGAGCTTAATCCCTGGCACCACATACGGTTCCTCCAAACACTGCCATGTGTGATCCCTGAGACAGAGCCAGGAGTCAGTCCTGAGCACTGCCAGCCCCCCCCAACTAATTAAATAATAATAATAGTGATAATAATAATAATAACAACACCATCTTTGGAAGACTTGTGAAGAAAATAAAATGTCCATGAAAGACTGAGAACATACTGGAACCGGGGAAAAGAAGGCTTGTAATGATTAACTTTCTGTGTCGAGTGCTATGGCTCTGAATCTGGGCGGACAGAAATTAATTATTCCCCCTTAAAAAAGTCAGATCACATAAAAGACAGAATCTATAACCAATATGGAACATGACAGAACCCAAAACCCACACAAGAAAAATTACCCACATATTTCTTCCTAGCCTACGACTCTGATTTCACTTCTATCCCACAAGGGAATGAAGAGAAAAGAAGGTCTTCTGTTTTGTTCTGTTTGCTTGGTGAGCAGCCTAAAGACTTAGGAATTTTCATGCAATCTAAATGGCACCATAGGAAAAAGGAAAAAAAAAAAAGCAACTCATGAACGCTCTTTGTGTCTGCTGAACTCTGATTTCTAGCTCGGTCTAACTGGTGGTGGTGCTGGCTCTTTCTACTAGAGGGGCAATGGTAAAATTGCATCAAAACCACTTAAGACACTCAGATCACCCTTACCTTTCAATAGATTCAACTGGACATCATTACAGCCCAAGGCACCCTTCCTTCCTTCCTTCCTTCCTTCCTTCCTTCCTTCCTTCCTTCCTTCCTTCCTTCCTCCCTCCCTCCCTCCCTCCCTCACCCCCCTCCCTCTCAAGTCAATGGCCCTTGAAAGCATCAGGCATAGGATTTAGACTCTAGTCTTCACGGTGGCTTGGATAGAGCCAGAGCTGTGATGGATAAAGGACCTCCTGTGTGCAGGACTGGGGGGGTGTTGGCACCAGTGTCCAGGTAGGTGGGGCTCCTGGATCCCCCAAACACAGACTTGTCTCATGTATGGTTTTTAATAGGAAAAATGTATGTTAACTTAAAAAAAAAGAAAATTCTGGGTGTGCAGATGCTGGCTGCATCCGGGCTGCTGCCCTTTGTACCTGAACATGAAGAGGAGGTCAAGGTGTCTGGGCCACAGCATGCTGCCCCCCCCAGCCCCCGCCACCCCACACTCATTACAACCATTTCCTGGTTGATCCACTGATATCAAGTCTCCAGGCCTTTCTAGGAGCTGCAGCACGAATGGGGGGGACCCTTTCAAGTCTCCTCCACCCCATGCTCCCCCCAGGGGGCTGACTCGAAGAGCAAGAGACCTTTTGGTTGGGACCTTTCAGATGAATTGACACCACAAATGAGTGACTAGGTACTTTAATTTTCAGCATTCATCGTTGCACAGAATATCATACATCACTTAAATAACACATATCAATGAATCCCGTGAAGAAACTGTTGGTGAGAACCGTTGGAGCGACACCAGGTGCATGGCAGGGTAGAAATGGTCTAAGTGCGACACTGCACAGGACTTTGGGGCACAGACACTAAGAATCCTCACTCAAAGGGCGTTGCCACTACGGACAAGTGTGGAGAAATAGGCCCTGCCCACTGCCCCATGTGGACACACACAGGGACGCTAATAGGTGCGTGACAGCCAGTGCCCACCTGGACACAATCGTTTTTCAACACGCTAGTGTCATTCGGGGCCGGATGGGAAAGCAGAAAAGGAACAAGGAGACGGGAACCATTTACTTTCAAAGTGGAATCCAGTGTGGGGAATCTAAACTCCTGTCAACTAGAAAATGAAGTTTATTCTAGAGAGACAGAAAAGAAAACAAACAAACCTGCTTTCTTCTTAAAAACAACAACAAAAAAGTACAAGTATCTAAAATGGCTGCAAATCTTGTCCCTGCTAGGGGGAAAAAAATCAAATGTGGAAAATCTGCATTCCTCACCCCCCCACCCCCAAACCTCCACTGGAAAGAAAATAAAAAGCCAGAGCATTTGGCATTAGCAAAGGCCTGCGCTAAGTTCTCAGGCAATAAATTTATGGGAAACGTGAAGGCTGCTCATAAAAGCTATGTGTACGTTGGCTGAATTTTGCACAAGATTCTTGAATCTTGTGGAAAACTGGGCGCGGCTTGACATCCGAACAATGTCCCCGGTCTGTTTGATTTCTAAAGCTGCGGGAAATGTTGCACTTTGGAAGTCAGGGAGAGAAGAATGAGCAGACTCAAGCAGGACTGGGCTGAGTCCGAACGTGGTTTTTCCACAAGGCTCGAGGAAATATTTATTATCTTTACTTCTCTTACACACACACCGCCCCCCCAACCCCCGGCCCCTGGAAATACTGTGGGACCTTTCTTCTTTTTTTTTTTTTTGATGGAGGTGAGAAAATAGCCCTGCTCGGGCGGTTCTTACCCGCCGCACTCACCACCCAAGGATAGGCAATTTTCAGTTGGCTTTTCAGACACGGGTTGCCATGACAAAGAGCACAATTTATTCCTTAGTCCCTTATCGCAGCTACAGATCACAGACCATAAAAATTAACAAGGCTCTTTCCCTTTTCCCCGATAATTTCAGAGTTCCTCATCCTCACCTGAGGTCTTTTGTTCCCCCAATTAAATGGAATGAATGTCAGTCATCTAGCAATTCAATTAATGCTGATTTCAAAATTCTGGCCCAAACCAGAATCTATAATCACAGCCTCCTAATCACTGCTCAGTCTCGAGAATGAAAAGCAAGCAGGAAATTGCACTAATTACTCAATTAGACTAATACTGTATTTTAAAGCGAGGGCTTAAGGGGTTGTCAGCGCTGACAAAGGACCCCGGAGTCGTCCTCACCTCCGTGGCGCTGCCGCCCGCCTGGTCCAATTGAAGGCGATGTTTTCAAGTGGCCATTTCATTTCTGCTCATCTCCCGGGGACCCAAGCCCATGGCTGATAAATGGGCCTCAGATGAGAGAGTGGGGAGGGGTGGGGTGGGGGGCTCTCCCGGGGCTCCTGCAGGATGGAAATGCTTCCCTGGGATGGGGGGGTGGTGTGAGGTCCCCCTACAGAAGGCAGGGAGGGCAATGGGCCACCGGAATGGCTCTGGGAACTGGAGAGCAAGAAGGAACATTCTGGAAGCCCAAGCACCATTTTCCGTCTTAAAACCAAGCCATGCTGGCTTCCAAATTCCTGACAGAGAGTGTGTGGGGGAACAGGGCATCCGTCCACCTGGCAGGGGGCCCGGGGTGGTGGGGGGAGCGGGAGGCTGAGAATCTCCCACAGCCCTTGGATGGCTTCTTGGAGGTGTGCAGGGGTGGGCGCGAGGCCTTCCCGGAGAAGGTTCATGAGACGGGGAACAGGGAGAGGAACAGGGCCCGGTAGGTGGAGGGGCGCAAGGCAGAGGGCGTGAAAGGGTTTCTAAGACAACACAGGCTCGGGGGGCCCAGACAAGGCCGAACCTTATCACAAACAACGACACCAGCCTACAACTAGGATCCTTTTGGTGCCCCCATCTTGGCGCCTCGGAGATGCTGCACACATGGGGCGGACACTCGAGCCCGTCGCGTCTGTGGTTTCAGTGAAGATCCTTCCCCACGCTGCACGCGGCGCAGGAGGCCACAGGGAGGCGGGCAGCGGGGGCCCGTGGTGAGGCCGGGGTCTCCCCCTCCGCGGCAGCTCCCACAAATGACCGACTTGGGGGATGGCGGGGAGGTGGGGTTCCAAAAGGCGACAGGCGTTTATTCGACCCGGACAGGCGTGGTCTCTACTTCCACGGCTTGCCTTGCAGGTGGCCACTGCCCAGCGACCGGGCACCGGAGCCGCTGGAGGACAGGCTCTGACTACAGCGGGAGCCTGGCCCCTTCGTGTCTCTCCCATGGGTGCTGGTGTGGCTCAGCCGGCCTGCAGGGAGCAAGAAAACAGGGGGCAGAGCTGCAGGGTGACTCGGGCGGCAATTGGCCGAGGGCTACTCTTTCGCGGAGGCGCTATAAACCCTTTAGGAGGTCGAGTGGTTCTCGGCCTCCATGTCAGGCTAAGGCCTCCTGTTACCCATGGAGCCACGGGAAGAGGGATGTGGCAGGGAGGAGGTGCTCACCACTCCTGTCCCCGGCTGCCTGTGGCTGGCTCTCTGTCCTCCCTGGGGAGCAGGGGCCACCGGAGGAAAGACCGGGACAAGCTGTGAGCCCCCATGGTTTGGACTAAAGCAGCCGGCAGAAGCAGGGCATCTGAAGGCCTAGGTTTTACCTCAGACACGTTTTCTGCAACTGCTAACCTCTTAACTCTTCCTCTCCTTCTCTCTGTATTCCTAACACATCCTCCCCTACACTTATCTGCAGAATCCAAATATATTAAACACAATCTGGGGTCGTCTGTGTGCACACACACACACACACACACACACACACACACACACACACACACACACACACACACCCATGTTCCCCTACACTTATCTGAAAAATCTAAATATATTCTTGGAGTCAAACTTTCCATAGTACTCGAGTGAGGGGACGCTTAAAAGCCGCAAATCCCTCGCTTCAAAGAACATGGGGGCCTGAAGGTCCCAGGGGCTTACTGGGATTGTCCGTGAGCCCCAGGCCCTCTTCCAGGTAATACTCGATCTTCTTTAAATCTTCAGGGGTGAATCTCCACTTATTCTCGGCGGGGAGAGGAGGTACTTTGGGGCTGGCTCTCTTCCGGGCAGAGCCAGGAGGGTGGGTCTGCAGGCAGGACACCGGCAAGGAACCCGTGATCAGTCCTTCTGGAAACTTCTGAGCTAAGACTTTCAGACCTGGGTTTGGGAAAGCGTCCGAAGAGAGCATGAATACGGGTGAGGCCACAGCGAAGCCTGTGTGTCTTCCCCCTGCCCTGTCTGCTGCCCCGACCCCCCGGAAAGAGGCAGTGCGTAGGCAGGAGGCCGAGCCCAAGGGGATCCAGTGCCCAGAGTATCTAGCACCCCAGCTCCTGCACAGAGCCCAGCAGGAGGGGACCCTGGCCTGGGGCTTCCTCTCAGCGCACACCTGGTTCCTCTTTCCCTGCAACTCTGAGGGCTGAGCTGGGTGGGGAGGCCGGGTGGGGTGCGGGCCGCACGGGTCAGGGACTCACCTCCGGAAAGCATGAAGAGGTTCTCAAAGCCCCGCTCGCACATGGTGGTAGCCGCCTGGCTGGCCAGCCTCTCGTCATCGTCATAGAGAATGATGATCTTGCCGTGGGCATTTTTCTGGGCCCAGAGAGTCAAGGTTCCCCAGTGTTGAGCTAATCCAGGCAGGTCAGTAAGAACCATCCCCAAGAAGCCAAGAGGGCGCCAGCCCAGCTTTCTGAGTTTGGGGGACAACTGAGGCCCAGCCCACCTTTTCCCCATGGAAATCACACTTTTTTGAGCTGGTCTTTCCTTCTGTAAACTAAGGTTGCCTGGCTAAGAGCACAATTTCCAAGCTTCGGATACTCTTGCCTTTTTAGCCACAAACCCAGAGAAGTACGGATGACAGGCTCCACCGCACAGCAGAGGAAAGAGGAAAACCAATGGGCCTCCTGCCTCCTTATTACAAGGGCAAGGAACCGAGCCACAAAGAGTTCAAGAGGGAGGAATGGTTGGCGAAATCCAGTGGATCTGAAGATGGAGATTCATGTCAAAAATGGAGCAAGAGGGAGCTCATACTACACTGCAATGTGAAGAGTGTGTGTGTGTGTGTGTGTGTGTGTGTGTGTGTGTGTGATTCCAAAACCCAAGACACTGAATTATATACACCATGTTTCTACTTTGGAGAAACAAACTATATTTAATATATTATATTTATATATATTATATATGTCTAATTTCAAGATTTCAGAGCATCCTTGATTTTCCTTAGGCCACAAACGCAATCAACCTAAATGCCCATTGTTATAGTTGGTTGGATAAAGAAGTGGTAGAAAGGGTCAGAGCCATAGTACAGTGGGGAGGGCACTTGCCTTGTACACGGCTGACCTGGGTTTGGTCCCTAGCAACCCAAATGGTCCCCCGAGCACTGGCAGGAGTGATCCGAGGGCAGAACCAGGAGCAACCGCTGAGCATCACCGGGTATAACCCCCAAATGAAAAATGAAACAAAATCAAGAAGTGATAGAGGACAGAGCACAATGTGGCCTGCCTCTACAAAAGAATGGCATTATGCCTTTGAGGGCAAAATGAATGCAGCCTTGAGGGGATGATGTTATGTGAAATAAGAAAGGAAGTGAAAGGGCATGCTGGTTTCACTAATAGATGATAAATAAGCACAGAAAATGAACTGGCGAAACCCCAACAGGACTGAGTCCATGGGCTGGTGGAAACTATGGTGGTTGCTGGGGTGGGTGGGAGAAATGCGCAGGGAATGGGGGTTTGTGATCTCAGATGGCTCTGATTTTCGAGGTGTTGAGTTATATATGCCCCTGGCCTCTATGATTCTGTAAATCAATAAAAAGGAGGAATTCTTTTTTTCAATTTTTAAAAAAATGTTACAGAGAAGTTAGGCTGTATTTTTTTTAAATGTTTCAGAGTAATTTTTTTTTTTTAATGTTACAGAAAAGTTAGGCTGGATTAAAAATATACGAATGTATTGAGTTGTTCAGATGCATGATTTTTTGGAGATTACAAGTTTTGTTTTTTAAAGAATATTTTTAGCTTGTATGATTTTTGATGAGCAAACACAATTTTAAGAAGAAAACTTTTATTTTGGCTTTTGGGCTTTGGAGGTACTTAAGGGGCCACTCCCAAAACTTGGTGCTCAGGAGTCGCTCCTGGGGGTGTTCACCTGGGTCTTGTGTGGTTCCAGGATCACATGGAGGTGTCCTTATGTAACACATCTGTTCCAGTCCTCCTCTCGGATATATGCCAAGCCCCAAAAGAAAAAATAATTCTAACGGAAGGGAAAAATAATCTTGGGACTGTCATTGGATCATAACCACTAAACTAGACTGTTTAAAAATTTTTTTTTTTAATTTTGCCTTAATTCATCAGATACTCAGCAACACCCTAGAATCCAAATCCTCAAACAGGGATACCAGAGAGATGGTACTTGCCTTGTCTGTGGCTGACCCAGGTTCAACCCCCAACACCACATATGGTCCCAGAGCATCACCAGGAGCACAGATCCCTGAGCACAGAGCCAGGAATAAGCCACCAGGTGTGGCCCCCAAACCAACAACAACAGCAACAAACAAATCCTAAAACAGCCTAAGCTAATAATAAATATCAAAAGACGTTTCTTGCTAGGAGTGTGAAATCACGATAAAATTCGATTCTTACAAGCCCCACACCACCCAGCTCTTTTTAAAAAAGACAACAAAGGATACGTATTCAAGAATATCATTTGAGTAAGGATTCATTGTTCTAGAGAGAGTCGCAATTGGGTAACTGTAAGCTGCAAAGGAGAAGTAAAAGCTTAGGCGGTGGGGCGCACAATTCCTGGCTGGGTCAGGGTCTAAGGAAGAGCGAAATGCAATTCCGAATGCAATTCCGAAAGCAGTGAGCTCTCATCTAAATTCTTCTGTGAAGGAAAAGAAACAGGACACCACACAGGACAGGAAGCTCCCCATCACCTCCTGACCCTTAGCCTCGGGGCGGGTTCTCTAATGGATCCCCCTAATCTAAGACTTCCTGAATAGCCGGCTGAGGATGGGGACAGCCACAGCCCCGGCCGGCCTGGACCAGAGGCGGGCTCTGCCCCTACACAAGTCCCTGCCCTGCCTGTTCTCACCACCAACGATGTGGCACAGCTGGTAGGAGTCTCTGTCCCGCACGTCCAGCAGCAGGAAGGGGCAGTCCGGGTAGGGTCTGTCCTTGGCATTGGGTTCCTCTTTCTTCACCAGCCCTTTGTCCAAGTCCAGCTCCCCAACGCCACTGATGACGCTGCAAGTGACAAAGGAGGTCAGCAGACTCGGGGGAGTGGCTGACGGCCAACCAACAGCACTTTCCCCAGGGAGCTAGAGGAGGGCTTCCTGTCATGTCCCAGGACCTTAGGGTGCAAGGGAAGAGGGGACATGACAAAAGGAAAATGGACACGGGCGGCGCTGTGCTGTGCTTGCCTCTGAGGACAAGACATGACGGACGCTGAGTCTATGACCTAGGCCCCTCCGAGGGCTCAGAGCAGGGCCCCAGGATACTGGAGTGTCAGGGACTGCTGGGTGTCTGCTGCTCCCAGCGACGAGGCCAGTGTTTTGAGAGGATAGGAGGAATGCACGGTCGGGCCAGTGGGATTTTGAAGAGTGTCTGAGCAAAAGGAGAGGGGCTAGAGCGATAGTATAGTGGGTAGGGCATTTGCCTTGCACGTGGCCGACCTGGGTTCAATCCCAGGCATCCCATATGGTCCCCTGAGCACTACCATGAGGTGCCTTTGACCCTATTCAAGAGCAATTCCTGAGTACAGAGCCAGGAGTAACCCAAGCATTGCTGGGTATGACTCAAAAAGCAACTCTGCGCCCCCCCCCAAAAAAAAATTAAACAAAAAGTATGAGGAAAAGAAGAAAAAATAAGGCTGAGAGGCTGGAGAGATAGTGTAGCGGGGAGGGTGCTTGTTTTGCAAATGGCCAATCTGGATTTGATTCCTGGCACCACATATGGTCCCCTGAGCACTGCCAGGAGTTACTCCTGAGTACAGACAGAGGAGCAAGCTCTGCTCATCAATGGGTGTGGCCCTGCCTCCAAAAGAAATTAAGAAGTAGGTTGATAGGAAGGGAAAAGGAAAGGCATTTCTATGTGGGATATATATATAATGTGAACTAAAAGGTCTTCAGGATCTCAGATACACACAGTGATCAAACATAGAGTCTGAACCTTAGTGTCTTCAATAATTACCTGCAGTTAACAGAATTTTTATAGGTTACTTATTTTGTATGTTGCAAAGTGATGCAGGGAAACGCTTTAATTTTTCATTTCAATTACTAAGGGTTCTGGCCCACACCTGGCAAGTGCTCGGGGCTACTTCCAGTGCAGTGCTTGGGGAACCGTGTGGCACAGAGGTCAAATCTGGCCTCCCACAGGCAAAGAACATGCTCCAGTCTTTTGAGCCCCCTCCCTCACCCCAAACAGAATTTTTGATCTGGTGACATTCATAATGAGATAGAAGAGAAAATCAAGAGTTGAACATGACTTCAGTATGGAGAGTTTCTAAAGGCCATACGTTCCACGTAATGAGATGGGGTGGAAAGATGAATCAGAGCAGTGTTAGTAAGGGCATCCTTCCCAACAAACGGCAAGCAGTGAAAGGACTGCAGTGGCCTAGGAGGATGATGTCTAGCCTATGTGGATAAGGAGATGCACACGCCCATCCCCATCAGTGTCCAGTGGAGGCCCTCTCCCAGCAGATGCGGCTCCGCACTGCGCTGGACACACACGTCGGCAGTCTGCATGTCTGCAGTGGTGTTGTGTACAAACCGGGCTGAACTCACGGGGAAGAGAACCTACCTAATGTGAAACCACGACTGGGTGGCAGTCTTCTTGGTTTATCCTGCTTTAAATGCAATTTTAGCATTCCTGCACAAAAGCTGCCGTGATACGAATGACAACGGTAACATCAACAGCTGCAACCACAGTGGTCTGGATGATACCAGTTCTTCCCCTTTGTCTTTGTTTTGCTTTTTTTGGGCCACACTGGTGGGGAACATATGGTGCCAAGGATCAAACCCAGGTCTCCCTCATGCAAAGCCTGTACTATGGCCCTCTGAGCTATATCCCGGGCTGAACACACTTTTCCAGCAGAACTGCTTTACGTGTAAAAGGGACAGACATGTGCTGAACACTGGCAGAGTCTTATAGTTCAAGCTAATCTTTGCCAGAGGATGCAGCACTCAAGAGCACGGAGAGAGGAGTAGCAGCTGTGTGGAGTTTGAGGACTGCCGCCAACGGCTGAGCTCAGGTGCCTTTGACCCTATTCAAGAGCAAGTTCCAAGTGAGAGACTCAAACTTTCTTCTGGTTCTGGATAGGGGCTGATAAGTTGCATGGATGGAAATACGGGTGTGGGTGGGCAATCATTCTATTTTTTTTGGCTTCTTGGGTAACACCTGGCGATACACAGGGGTTATACTCTTGGTGGTGTTCAGGGGACCATATGGGATGCTGGAAATTGAACCCGAGTTTGCTGCATGCAAGGCAAATGCCCTACCCACTGTGATATCGCTTCTAGCCCTGCGATCATCTTCTTGAGGTCAAAGACAGTTGAAACTATAAGGCTTTTTTGTTTGTTTTGCCTGGTTTTTTGTTTGTTTGCTTTTTTGGATCACAACCAGCAATGCACAGGGGTTACTCCTGGCTCATGCACTCAGAAATTACTCCTGGCGGTGCTCAAGGGACCATATGGGATGCTGGGAATCGAACCTGGTTCAGCCACGTGCAAGGCAAACGCCCCACCCGCCGTGCTATCACTCCAGTCCCGAAACTATAAATCTTTTTTTGGGCTTTTTTGGGGTCACACCCGGCAATGCTCAGGGGTTACTACTGGCTTTGCACTCAGGAATCACTCCTGGCGGCACTCAGCGGACCATATGGGATGCCGGGAATCGAACCCAGGTTGGCCGCGTGCAAGGCAAACCCCCTACCCGCTGTGCTATTGCTCCAGTCCCTTGAAACTATAAGTCTTAATAGTGAACAACAACCTATAGAATGGGAAGGAAGAGTGAATGTGAGCATTCCCCTGGGCAATCTATTCTCTCATTAACTGAGAGTGCTGAGAATGGATCTAGGAGGTGGCAGGGAGAGAAAGAGGGAGAGAAAGCACAAGGCAGGGAGGAAAATGGGAGCATTCACCGCTGCCTGTCCCTTTCGAAGGTCTCGAAATCACAGAAATTGGTTTCTGAGGCTCATTAGCAGGAAGGTAAACGCGGAGGAAAATGGAAGGGAAGGGGCTTGTGCTGAGCCAAGTGAGTCCAAAGGACAAGGACAAACCCTGAGCAACCTCACTCCTGTGTGGGACAGAAAGGAACAGAGGGAACAGCCCATGGCTCATGAAAACAAACCCCGAGAGTCTGTCTGTCGAACCGAGGGCTGACTTGGGGGTCGCAGCTGGGTGGTAGTGGGAAGTGGCAGACAAAACATTCACACCATTGCCCATCATGACATCTCCATACCAGAAAAAAAAAAAGTCTGGCATGAAAGAAACTCAACCAAAACATAAGAAAACATGCATGCAGCTGGCGCACCTCTGAAGGGTGGAGCGGCCGGAGTCCCCAACACTTGAGCTGTTGATGAACTGGACAGGGCTCGGTGCCTGCTCCCCGGGGCTCTCTTTCCCGTTGGTCCTGGCTGCGATTTCTGCGTCAGGTTCTGGAGTTGCAGAGTCGTTGTCTGAAAATGTGCAAATAAACACAAACACTTCAACATGTATTTAGTCACAGCATCCGCGAGGACTGCTACTTCCCTGTGAGGTGGTCCCACTGGGGGCTGGTGGATAAAGCCCAGGGTCATGCCCAAGCGGCTCCGGGGGTGCCCTGCGTCTAAGCTGGGCAGGAATCGCCACTGTCCTCTCAGGGGATGGGTGGTGGGAATTCTCTCTCTTTACCCTATAGGGAGTGATTTGTCATTTCTATCGGACGGGGACAGCTGGCTCGATGGCACGGAGGATTTGTGTAGGGACTGGCAGCATCTCAGCAAGAAGTAGGGTGGTGGTACCAAGTTTAATTAGTGATTGCTCTATTTTTCACCAACGCACACAGTTGATACAGTAGTCACATTAAAAAAAAGTTTCTGAGAAAGAAATATTAATGAATAAGTCTTAGTTTTCACCCTTAAGCACAGACAGCTTTAAGTATTGTGATAAAATGGGAGGTATAGGCACAGCAAGCTTGCTAAGTATTAAGTGTAATCTTCACTGTTTTGGTCATACCTATTTTGGGGAGGACAGGCGATGGTGCTACTCCTGGATCTGTGCCCAGTGGTCACTCCTGGCAGTGCTCTAGGCACCATATGTGATGCCAGGGATTAAACTGGGATGGCCAGATGCAAGGCACTAATGTGCCTATAAATTCCATGGATAGAAAAACTAGTTATTTACACTCCTGCATTTGGCAGACATTTCCCCATGAAACAGCCTAGCTGAAACTGTTGTTTCAAGGAAAACCACTGATGATACGCTTATGGCCGTAATTAAAAATGTGCACAAGAATCAGAATTTTGGAAACTACTCGCCACCACAAGTTTCTCTCTAGCCTGGATAGCTTTTCAGGTAAGAGAGGCAGTGAGAGTAATAAATATACTTTGGGGGAATGCTCTGTACTGAAATTTATCAACATCTGGAAGGTCTTCATAACTCTGCAAACCAGTATTTTCCAAATGGTTAATGATCGATGCTGCAAACTAAGTGTGGTAAAATCTATTCAGGAGTGCAAGGCAGACGTGGATTTTATGGGAACAGGATATGAAAAGTCCATTGATATGGTTTCAGAGTCCAAATTACATACAACTAATCTCTAAGCAGCTACCAGCTGTCAAGTTTTGGTACCATAGCAAAGAAAAATATCCACAATTATCTCAGAGGAAAATGAAAATGCCCCTTATTTTTCAACTTCAGGCTTCCCGAGGTCAGGTTCTCTCCTACTCTTTGACCCTCAGACAGAATTTGCAATGGATCCCATGCAAGACATGGGAACCAGCTGCCTTTTATTAAATTTACAAAAAAGGCAGAACATTGCCATTCTCAGTGATTTGTTTTGGAAATGTAGTACTTTTACATAGAAGCATATTATATTTGTAAGGGGTTAGTGCTGTTAAAGTGAAACAGTATATAGATATTAAAACTTTAAAATTTTAAGAACAGAACAAAATTTCTTTGAGATCCTTAATTTTTATTTAAAAACTTAATAATTGTAAAGCCAGTGAGGGAGATTGACACTAAAAAGTTTGAGAATTTATTGTGTTAACCAGTATAATGAGAGAGGAAATAAAAATAAGGGGCTTAGTTATTAAAGAGGATACTGAAATTTAATTTGCATCTGATATAATGTGCTAGAAACTACAAGAGACTCCTATGAAAATAAGAGTAGTATGTTATTAGATTAAAAAATGTACTGACAAAATAATCAGAAAACAACATGAACAACCTTTTGCTTGTAGTAATAACTGCAAATATGAAATGTACTCCCTTAGAAGAGAAATCTGGTAGGAAGTGTAAAGGATCCGATAAAGCGCAGAAGCCCTTTAGAATAGTCTCATAAAAATTTTACTAAAGAAGATGTAAATAAAGAATGTGACATACCTTGCGGATCCCTGACTAATGACTAAAGGTAAAATGATGTTAATATTTTCCACATTTAAATTTTAGCCTTAATTCAAAAAACAATGAAGTTTTTTAAAGGTTTAAAAGGATTTCAAACATGAAAAGAGAAACACAATACATACACACAAACACACACACACACAACTTAGGGAACTAGCCTTATCATCTAATTAACATTTATTGAAAAGATATGTCATTGAAACAAAGCAGAACTATGATCAGAACAATGGAATAGTGAATACAGTAACTAATCCTAAACTATCTGTAAAGGCAATACTTTTTCTTTTTGGGATTTTTTTTTTTTTGGCTTTTTGGGCTACACCTGGTGATGCTCCGGGTTTACTCATGGGTCTGCACTCAGGAAGTACTACTGACAATGCTCAGGGGACCTTGGATGCCAGAGATTGAACCCAGGTCAGCCGCATGCAAGGCAAACACCCTACTTGCTGTACTGGCCTCTACTGTGTTGTACTGCGGCTCTGGCCCCCTATTTGTTTTTTGGAGGGCCATATCCAGCGATGCTTAGGGGTAACTCCTTGCTCTATGCTCAGGGATGTTCAGGGATCACTCCTGGAGGCTCAGGGAACCATACAGGGTGCCAGGGATGGAACCTGGGCAGTCATGTGCAAGGCAAGTGCCCTACCCTCTATACTATCGCTCCAATATAAATGTTAAAAATGAGATCACAATTAGAGGGAAAAGGGAAGACTATTGAATAAGTGGTTCCGCAAGCTGTCAAATAGCTAAAAAATCGAATTTAGGTAATCCCCTCACCATCATTATCTAAAATGCTAGAGGATGGATTAATGTAGGAGGCAGGTTTAAAAAAAAAAAAGAACCAAACAAAGAACTAGAAGTCAACATAGATAAATACCTCCTCTTATTTGGGATTTTGTGAATCTAGTGCCATCAAAGGAAACACACGAAAGGCTAATGGGTTTACCCGTGTAACAAGACAAACCTCATATATATTGTCAAAAACCCACACAAAGAAAATTAGCAAGTGAATAACAAATTAGGAAAAATACCTGTGACACAGAGACATGAAGAAAGATTAATACACGTAATTTATAAGAGGCTTTTTAATAAATCAGCTCTTTAATTGAAAAGGGATCATGTGTACAAACAAGGTAAAAATGAAAAGAAGATGAAACTGTTATTAAGGAAAGGACGTTAGCTTCTTCCCTGGGCAGAGCTGTAGGCCTGAGGCCTCATACTCTGAGGGTCACCTTCCGAAGCAGCTTCCAAAGAGAAAACTACCGTATTTCTTTTTTTTTCCCCTTTGGTTTTGGGGCCACACCTTGGGTTACTCCTGGCTCTGCACTCAGGAATCACTCTTGGTCATGCTCAGGGGATCATAAGGAATGCTGGGGATAGGATCTGGGTTGGCTGTGTGCAAGGCAGGTTTTAGTTCCTCCTCTATTTAGACATTCAGGATAATGCCATACATAGCTCTATACTTTGGCTTCTGTTTTTTTTTTTTTTTTTACATAATAATATTGCTTGGACACTGTTTTAAATCACCAACTAAGATATGTTTTAGTGATGGGGCACAAGGGTTAGGGCTTTGATTGTACTGGTGACATGGGTGAGGGGTATAGCCATATATCCCAAAACACAGACTCAACTGCACTGAAAACATGAGACCTAAGCTCAACCAGAGAACTTGGTAAAGTGCCTGGTGGGGAGGTGTGAGAGGGAGTATGGAGACACTCCTGGAGGGGAGCTGACACTGGTGGTAGGATTAGTATTGAATTATTATATGCCTAAAATGCAACTATCAATACCCTTGTAAGTCATGTTTCTTTAATTACATAAAATACTTCCTGGGTATTAAAAAAAAACTAGAAAACGGAAGAAAAAAGATGATTTTAATAGTCATTTTCAAAGCTGTATTGGTTTCCACTGAATAAAGAGCTCATTATCATAGTGGCGCTTTCACAAATCAGGAAGTCTAAAGACAAACATCCCATTAGGAAAAAAACAAAACAGGAAAGGCAAGTAATGACTTCAAAAGAAAAAATATATACAAGCAATTAATACATACATTCAAAGCTTAATTTCTCTATCAAAGAAATAAAAAATAAAACCATTAGACACCAACCTAGCAATTATTTATCAAACTGGTAAATATGCAAGATACACTAAGATGGAAGAAACAAATCTCATCCACTCCGTCTGGAATGCAAACTGTTAGTAGAACCACTCTGAAGCCACTGAGGCACCAGCAGAATGTCTAAGAATGGATTTAGGCCAAGGGTCCAAAAGCACAATGCAGAAAAGACATCTGCACTCTTAGGTTCATAGCATTGCTATTCATGATAGCCAAAGCCTGGAAAGAACCCAAGCGCCCAAGAACTGACTGATGACTGGAGAAAGAAATTATGCTCCATATACACAAAGGGATACTATTTGGCCATCAGAAAAGACGAAGTCATGCAACTGGCTGCTATGTAGATGGATCGGAAGAGTATCACGCTGAGTGAGATCAGTCAGAGGGAGAGAGAGAACCGTCAGACTCAGAACCATCTCTCTCATACGTGGGATATGAAGAAACTTCCTAGGGGAATAACAAACGCCAGAAGGCTGAAAACAGGAGAACTGGTCTTCAGCAGGACGCTTGCCACGGGGACAGGGGTTGGAGGATGGTTAGGGAAGGGAACACTAGGGAAATGGGGGAAGGGAAAAGTACCTCTGGCGGGGGGGGGGGGGGGGGCGGGAGGGTAACTGGAGACATTGGTAATGGGTAGCGGACTCTGGTGAAGGGATCGGTGTTGGAACATTGTACAGGAGATGGTCAGAACCATTCGAACAGCTATGGATTATTTTATATGAGTAAATATTACACAAAACCTGCAACCCCTAACAATAACTAATATGTTATGATATAATCAAATGACAGGCATTATATGACTACAGAACCTGACCTTCAAGCTTCTCAAGTGTATTTAAGAGCATAGGAAAGTAGGCCTGTTAAAATGTTCACTGAAAATAGCATGATACAAATCTAGAAACAAAGAGTAATTACTTGCATTGGTAAGTAATTAGATAGCAGGAAGAAAACCAAAATGTTAACACTGATTTTATTTTCTTCTTTATTTATTTTACAGTTTGCTGGGGAATTTAATTTTTTTATTTGTTTTTAGGAAAAAACAAACATCATAAAAGGAGACTCTTTTATTCCTTCAATGATAGCTAATATGCATATAGATACAATCTATTTTCCAGGCATTCCTGAGTGAGTTATTATTCTGTGTACAGCACTAGAAAAACACTAATATTACTCACACATTATGGTGTCCGACTTTACAAGAGCCTATTTTGCTGAGCAAATTTATTTCAGAAGAGAAAATTGCATGTGCCCATATGTTCTGGCACTATAATCTCAACAATGAATTAAAGGACAAGTCCAGGTTAACCAGGTTAAAATTGGGAGTGCTCAGATGAGGAGACTCGATTATCTCTGTTACAAAGAGCCCTTCTTCCTCTGCCTGGTGAGAGGCATCTGTCAACGATAAATTCCTGTCTTTTTCAGATTCTCTTTATCCTGCCTAACAAAAACAAGCCAGGGAGATGACAGCCGAGTTGCACAAATCCAGCGTTCAGACTTCCTGAGAAACTTGTCTTGAAATCAGAAGTCAAATTCCTGGCCTACATCAACCTTAACAAAACACATTCCCCCGTCAGTAAACAGCCCCATATTGATGGCTGAGAGCTCTGGGATCAAATGAAGACCTTAACTCTGGGAACTCTTTTCAGGCGCAGACAACTAAGGGGTTTTGTGTTCGGCTGGCTCGGTGCTGGAGAAAGGAAACCTACCTCATTTGCTCACCTTATCTCTTAGCAGACATCTCCTCCTCCTCACACAATGGTCGGACAGGACTATGCAATGCGCCAACCACGCTTGCAGTCTGCTCTCCTCTACTTCTTTGCTCGGGCGGCTCTTCGACCCATCGTAACCTCACCCTTCCCTGGCGCCTGTTGAGAATCCGCACTCCCCATCCCTGACCTAATTCAAAAGGCAGCCACCCTCCGTCCTGAGGTGGCTTTTCGTTCCCCAGAACTCCCACTTGCTGCGACATGTGGCGGTCACATGACCGGAAAGCTATATATTTGATTCCTACAATCATTCTCCATGGGCTTTGGTAGCTGGAGCAAGCATCTGAATCTCTAAGGTGTGGGAAGGCCTCTCACCCGGGAGATCTAACTTCCTTCTGGAGGTATAGAGAATAAAACTTCCCGTGAGAAAACTCAGATGAAGCACCCTAGTGGAACACATATTCAACATGTGATTCGTCATCTGTCAGTCTTTTGTTATGAATTTTTGCTGTATTAGTTATTCCTAGTCTGGGGTTCTGTTATCATCCCCTCAATCAATATTCATGTGTGCACATGTGCGTGTGCATGCGTGCGCGCGCACACACACACGTACATGTGGACTGACAATAAAGTTTTGACCAACAAAGAAAAAAATCGTCTGTAAGCAGAGCCGTGCTTTATCTGTATTTGCAATCACGTGGTATCCAGTTCTGTGACCTGCACACAGAAGGTACTAGAAATATGACTGAAGAAAGTAATCAGTTACAGGAAATACATCAAAAACTACCAATGCTCCAGCCAGAAAACCAGATGGTTGGAAGAAGAAAAAGAATTAACAAGGAAAAGTACCAGCTAGCAAGCAACTTCTTGGAGAGGAACATTTCATTACGAGTAGATACATCAAAGTTCCCAGGCCCTGTGAACACTGGGCACATGTGGCCAGGGTGGGTTCTCCCCACCCTCCATCCCCCCCGCCATCAAATGGTCAGTCGGTTACTTCCCCCACACCTCAGTCCTCATTACCTTCTAGCCTTTGAATCTCCTCAGCTGTCACTTCCAGTGTTTGATCAGATAGGGAGGCAACTTGGATGACCTGATAGAAAAAATAATGAAACGTGTGGTTGAGTGTTAGGTTTGCTTTTAGACAGAGACGTTCTGTCTTTGACAAAAGAGGAAACTTCAAACATCAAAGATCTCCTGCGGCAGAGCCTCCACTGGAAGAGGTGCCTCGGGCCTCCTTCCCTGGGAGGTGCAGACCATGATAGTGCAGACCATCCTTCCAGACAGCAAAACAGTGAATAAGATACTGAATGGATAATTCAGGACGAGATAATAAGAGCTTTAAAAACACATCTACAAATATTCTAATTCTGACAATAGTTATTTCTTGAAAAGCAATGTTTACAACAAGAGAATTGTATTAGAAATGCTTCATGCAATGAAGAAATAAAAAGCAATAATGGACACATTGTCTTTGACTATGTACACTTATAAAAGGTTTTTGAAGCACTTTTCACAAGTTAGCTCAATACCAGATCTACTTTAAGTAACAGACAACAACAGATCGTTGCTGTAGTTTTGGGGCCAAACCTGGCTGAGCTCAGGATTGACTCCTAGCTCTGTGCTTGGGGGACCATATGGGAATAGAACCCAGGTCAGCTGCATGCAAAGCAAGCATCCTACCCCTTGTACTACTTGTCCCAGCCCCAGAACTTTTGTTAAAGGTCCAGAAAGACACTGTGTCCATCATTTTTCCAAGTCTTTTATTTTTTAAATGTTTATTTATTTATTGCTTTCTGGGTTACACCTGGAGATGCACAGGGGTTACTCCTGGTTTTGCACTCAGGAATTACTCTTGGTGGTGCTCGGGGGCCCATATGGGATACTGGGAACCAAACCCGGGTCGGCCGCATGTAAAGCAAAATGCCCTACCTGCTGTATTATCACTCCAGCCCCATCATTTTTCCAAATAAGAGAATGACTTGCCTGAGGTAACCAAACAACTCACCAACAGAATGACTTTGGGAAGTAAAGTGCAATTACAGAAGGGAAATTTCCCACAAACAAAAATGTCCAAATAACCTGGAGTCCAAACTCCTGGATTCTAAGTGAGCAAATTAAATGAACAATGAAAAATAAAACTGTCCTCCCATTGTTCATTGATTTGCTCCAGCGGACCCAATAACGTCTCCATCATGAGACTTGTTGTTACTGTGTTTGGCATATCAAATACGTCACGGGTAGGTTGCCAGGCTTTGCTGTGCGGGTGAGATACTCCCAGTAGCTTGCCGGGCTCTCCGAGAGGGGCAGAGGAATCGAACCCACGGTTCACCCGGATCGGCCGCGTGCAAGGCAAACGCCTTACACACTGTGCTATTGCTCCAGCCATCAATTTTATTATTCAAAAATTGACTGCTATATCCTACTTATAAAATTTAGGGGCCTAATTTTGGAATTTGAGTAGAGAGGGTGGGGTCTTTCCTTGCCACGTTGGCTCTAACTTCAATCCCCGGCACTCCATATGGTCCCCTGAGCCTGTCAGGAGTGATCCCTGAGTAAGAATCAGGAGTAAGTCCTGATCACTGCTGGGTATGACCCCAAACCAAAAACAAACAAAAAATCTTACTAATGAGAAAAATTTCACTCCACCCTCAAGAATGAATATATCTGACACATCAATTCATCCTCCCATAGGTAGCACTGTAGCACTGTCCTCCCGTTCATCGATCTGCTCGAGCGGGCCCAGTAACGTCTCCATTGTGAGACTTGTTACTGTGTTTGGCATATCGAATATGTCACGGGAAGCTTGCCAGACTTTACTGTGCGGCGAAATACTCTCAGTAGCTTGCTGGACTCTCCGAGAGGGGTAGAGGAATCAGACCCAGCTAGGCCGGGCTGGTGGCTTGCAAGGTAAACGCCCTCCCATAGGTGAATTATGGAAAATCCTAAGGAACCTCTTTGCAAACATTACCCAGCGTTGAATTCAGAAACACTAAAAGAAGCACAATGACAGTCCATAGTCCAGCGGAAGATCATGAAACTCACCAGCTGGGCAAAAGTTGTAACTTTAAGTCTCTTGAAAAGTTCATCTTTTTTGTATCTATAATCTGAAAAGCAAAACAGGACAAATATGTTTTTTGGTTTATTTTGTTCTCAGGAGTGGGAGGACTTCTTTCTAGTCATCAAAGGGATTCAGTATACTTTTCAGGTTTTACAAGCGTTACATCATCTGATTCTCACTAAAGCCTCAGAAGGAAGTATGGCAGGTATTATTACCATCTCTTCATTTTGTTCCCTTTGCTTTGTCTAAAGTAGGAAACCGAAAGTCGAATTTATTAAGCCACATTTTTTTCCTGTGTGTCTCAGCCTCTATTCCTTGCCTTTAATCTCCTCCTCTACCATTATCCTTTCATTATGCCTCACTTTGACCATCCTGTAGAGCATGCATTTATGTAAGATGCTTTAAATCCCTTCCAGAACAAAGAAGGAATCTGCATCTGCAGTTTACAAATGAGGACAGAGACTGGGAGAAGTTGAGCTGCCCAGCTCAGAAAGCGGTAAGATACTTTCATCCTACTATTAAAACTCTGCTCTGAACAGAGAACAACTTTATATCTGAGGCTACAATGACAGCGATCCAGGGCAATGCTCCCCGACTTCCGCCCTAGGACACACACCTGGCACAAAACTATGACTGCTCCAGATCATCTCCTATGCCAATAAACCAACCTGGAGACCGGCAATGTGAATGGTTATTCACGACAATGTGAAGACTTAAACACAGCTGAAAAAATGCTGTTAAAAATGGTCAAGATGGCAAATCTTATATATATATATTTCAAACCAAGATTTTTTTAATTTTAATTTTTTAATTTTTATTAATGAAACACCATGAGGTACAGTTGTAGACTTACAAATTTTTGTGCTTGGGTTTCAGGTATACATTGATCAAGTACCCATCCCTCCACCAGGGCCCATTTTCCACCACCACCAGTCCCAGTATCCCTCCCACCCCCATCCTCCCATCCCACCCTACCTCTGTGGCAGGGCATTCCCCTTTGTTCTCTCTCTCCTTTTGGGTGTTGTGTCAAACCAAGATTTTAAAAAACAACCTAAGGCTTGCTCTTCAAGCCCGTGTTCTCCCTTGAATCCATGTCTCGCTTGCTTGTCCCGATGTTTCTTGGCTTGTCCACTTCACCGGGAGAAGCCCATGATCTCTCTTGAACACATACTCTCTCTCTCACCTCACATCTTTCCAAATAAGTTTCCATTAAAACTACCTTGCTTCACACACAAAAACCCAATCTGAAATATCAACTTTGATGCTGGTCACTGCTATCTTCACAGTTCTGAGCCAGGACTCAAATGGGGGGATTTTTTTTTGCACTTGTGTTCACGTCACATTAGTCTGTTTTTTTTTTTTAAATTTAGCCAATCTCAATTTGTCTAATATCTGTCCCCGCCCCGGCCCCCACAAGAGCAAAGTCCACAGTTAGTGTCCTCAGACTTCTTGGAAACTGACTGCCATTGCTGAAGAGCTTTCAATGCGACCCTTCCATCTGCCCTTACCTCCTCCTCTGGGTTTTAAAATATGTATTTAAATACAGCCTCATTATTTTAGAATTACTAAAGATTAGCTGGATAATGACTATGACCTTCACAGCAGAAATGCCTCATAAACCAAGACTCCTAGCAACAAAGGAAAGGATTAAACATACTCTAGATTATTTACCTGGCGTTACTAATCGTTGCCATGAATTTTCACAACTAGCACGGACTAGAGCGTTCCTTCGGAGGACGTGCTTGAGGGGCTTACCCCACCCCTCCCCCCTCAGACAGTGTGCCACCTCAAAAACTTGCCATCTGTGAACATGCCAGGATTCTCAGGGGGAGTCAGAGCCTCTCTATTCTAAAGTGTCTTCAAAGAGAGGAATGTAGTGGTGAACGGGCCCGTTATTTCTAGAAAATCCTCCGAATAGCTTCTTTTGGGGACAACAAGGTAACAGACCTGGAAACCAGGGCGATTCGAAAACCCGCCAGGATGCTGCTGACTCAAGTAGGCCAGAAAGAGGTTTAGGAAAGTGCAGCTGAAAAGCACCAGCCTCCCTCTGATTCCCACCGAGAGGCCCTGACAGAAACCAAGATGGCAATACGTCAGCCAATGAAAACAGCTTTCAAGTAGTTCTGCACTGTGGCATCTACCCGCTGATACTCTTCTGGTGTAATGACACAGTCTGAAATCCTTCTCCACCCTAATAAGTACACATGAAAAGTCCCCTTAACCAAAGAGAAATCACTTGAAGCAAATATACACAAAACCAAACCACCAGGCTCGGCTGGGTACCAGGATGACGGGCGGTTTAAGGTCCTTTCCCGGACGCTGGTGAGGCCTGAGCCCGACATACCTGGTTCTGGTTTGGAGGGACAGCCATCATGAGGACTTTCTGACATCCTGCCTTGGAGATAAGAGGTCAGACCGGACGCCTGGCAGTGCGTTTTAATCTTATTTAAAAAAGGAGGGCTTGGACAGCTGTCGGGCAGTGCTCGCGCGGGCGTTTGGAGCTTTAAGGATGGAGCTCCGGCCACTTTGCCTTCGCCCGGCCACCACGGAGGCCAATCATCCTTGTCTCGGGCCTGGTGTCAGGTTTTGCTTCTCCGGTAAGTTGGGACTCAAGAGTCTGCCTCTCTCGAGTTACTGGGAGGACAGAGGCCTGACTATCTAGGATGCCTCACACTGGGTCCAGGGCACGTTATCGAACCACCAGCAGCCAAGAATAGGCTTTGTGATGGTCAATAGGCCCCAGTGTCTCATTTCTCCGGGCAGAGCTGAAAGAATCTTCAGGTTACAAAGGAATTCTGAGTGTTGTGGGGGAGAAGGGGTTCTGTTCAAACAGTTTAGCCCGGGGAAGTTGGGGCTCACGGTGGGGGGGGCAATCAAAGGAAGGAGCAGGGGCAGGTCTGTGACTTCACAGAAAGGTAACCCAAGAATGGGGAGGGTCTAGGGTATCACAGAACAAGGCAATGTTCACCTCCCCTTCGCCCCAGTGGGACGCCTCCAACTAATGGAAGAGAAGGAAATCTCCAAAGCACAGACGTGAAGTGACTCTAGCCAGGCGGGCATAGAGTGTGTGAGCCCAGGTCATCGGAAGCTCGGTCTCAGGGAGGCAGCCCTGCAGCTTGCATTTCCTGGGACTCTGCCCCACAGGGAGCCCAGGGGAGAGAACCTCCCTTTAAAGGGCCTTGAGCAAAGAAACCACACTGTGCTTTTAAGAAATGTTCTACACGGGGTTTGAGCGCTCAAGGGTAGAACAGGTAGTTTTCAAGGGCCAACCTGCAGGTGGGGGAGGGGGGAACTCCTGTGCTGGCGCTCGATTCCAAATGGAGAGGAGGCGACAGAGATGGCAACCCCAAATAGAACCTTGCCTGCCCTGGACAAATTAAGGACGACACAGTGGAGGGAGGTGAGTAAGCAAGGTGCCTCCCACCCCCACCTCCCCCACTCCCCCCCATACAGTTAAAGGTTTCCATGCATCCTTAAGTATCTGTGCTCATCTGTATCGCACAGCTGACAATAGAGAACATGACAATGCATAGAAGGACTATGAAAAGGATACCGTGGTGTGACCCATTAAAAAAAAGGAAGAAATGTCTATTACATTCATCATGAGAGTAAACCTGGCTGGTAACAGAGTTGGTGTCAAGCTCTGTCTTCTGCATTTTGGGGTTTGTTTTCTTCTTCCTTTTTCCCTTTCTTTCTTTCCCACATCTGAAGGTGCTCAGGGGTTACTCCTGGCTCTGCACTCAGGAATCACTCCCAGCACTGCTCAGGGGACAATATAGGATGCTGATGATCGAACCCAGGTCAGCTGCATGCAGGGCCAGTGCCCTATGGGGTCTCTCTCTCTCTCTCTCTCTCTCTCTCTCTCTCTCACACACACACACACACACACACACACACACACTTTTAATCTTTGGTGTCATACCTGGCGTTAGGGCTTACTTCTGGTTCTTTGCTCAAGGGATCACTCCCGGGGGCCATAGGCTCAAGGGACCATATAGGATGCCAAGGATAGACCCCGGGTTGGCTGTGTGCAGAGGCAAGCACCCTCCCTGCTGTGCTATCATTCCGGCCCCATGCAGTTTGTGGTTTCTTAATCCTGCAGCAATTCCAATGGAAAAGAAACATCATTCTTTATACGGAAAGTCCTGGTGACTTCTGGATCAGGAATATTCTCTTCCCAGAAGATGTATCGAATCAGAGCCAAGTCTGGGATGGTTATTAATCGGAGACCCTCTCCATTAGCTAAATACTCCCCGTGCATTGAGTCCTCCTACTGCAGATGGGAGCGGATCCATCTTAGAAAATAGCTGTTTCTATTTCTCTGTAACGGCGGCCTTGGTGGGCACATGTTACATTCTCTTTGGACAGAGATTGAAAAATTATGATTCTGTGCAAGGGCAATGCACTTGAGGATGAGTAGCATATCTTTGCAGAAGATTAGTTTTTTTAAAAGGATGTGCATGAAATATGATTTTTAATTAAAAGAAAGCAGACTGCAATGAATTTATAATGCAGAAATCTTTTTTTTTTTAAAGAAGCAGCTCTCAAACCTCTAAGTCTTTCATGAATATCGTCTAATTTATACTCAAAACTCGAAGGAGTGGCTGTTAACAAGAGAAGACATTAATACTTCCACCTCAGGTCTAGAGAAAGTAAGAAGGCAGGAAAGTAAAAAGGCCATGAAGACCACAATGAAATGAGAAGCTGGGCTTTTGTTGCTTAACAAATGCTCACCCCCCATCCCAATGTGCACATCCTAGGGGCTGAATCAGCCCCCACCCCCCAACAGCCCGGCACAGTATCAGGCGCGAGCCCAGAGGGGCCTCTGTGTTCCCCACATCCAACTGCCGCCTCTCCAAGCACCGGTGTGGTGGAGCACAAGTGGGGGTGCTAGTCACCTGCTGGCGGAACTACAGGGTCCCATTATCCCCCAAACCATCAGAAGCCGTTACTCACTTTTTTTGATTTCTTCTAGCTTCTCAATGTACTTAGTCATACTGTTTCCTGAAAAGAGAACGAGGATTTTTAGATAATGCTTCGAAGGAAAGAAAATGAGTAACAGTGCAAACAATGGAGAACAAGTACTCCGTACCGCCACGGCCCTGCCAAGAGCCTGTTCCTAGGGAGTTATAGTAGGCAAATAGTAAAAACTATTTACTCCCAAAATACTCTCTGTACAACACAGCATCATTTACGGGGGGGGGGGGGGGGGGTGGAGGGGAGGATGGGGGGGGACGGGGGGGGGGGGGGACGGGAATCAAGGTAAATGTTTTGCTTGGATATGTTTAAGCTAGCCCAAGTTCCAGGCAGTAGAGAAGATTTTGTGTGTGTGTGTGTGTGTGTGTGTGTGTGTGTGTGTGTATTTTCAATGCTCAGGCAGCTGTTCTCAGCCAACCAGGCTGGCAGCTCGAAGCTCAGTTCCACGGATGTGGTGCTGATAAGACCCTGTGGCATCATGGATAAGCTGGGCTACCCGGGTGGGGCCTCCAGGACCAACCACACCCCATGGTGCTCAGCAGATGAGGTGGTCCCCGGGACTGAACCAGGCTGGCTGCACACAAAACATGTGTCTTCCACTGTACTACCTCTCTGGCCCCCTTGTTTTTTGTTTTTTTAAAGTCAAGGCTTTCTCCTTCTTTCCCTCCCTTCCTAAGTGTATAATGGGAAAAAATATACAGAGATAGAGAAAAAAGAAAAGCAGCAACGATTCCTACCCCACAGTCTAAAGTGTGCCATTAAAGGCTCCCACTGCCCCCAAAAGCCATCTCTCCTCTCTCCGGCTTGGCAGTTAGCTTCTCTTTCCTGAGCTTGGTCTTCCACGATTCATGCTGATACTGCATGCTGAACTAGACCACACAGCCTGTACACTGGGCTGCGCTGTGGATTTGAATTGCTGAGAAATTCAACGTTTTATAGTTTGGTTCTACAATGCTTGGTCCTCGCCAAGGTGGTTTGGAGAGCGTTCCGGCACTGACCCTGGGCCAGGATGCCTCGGTTTCTGAATGCGCTCCAGTCCAGCTCCCAAAGAGGGCCTCCTGCTCCTGGCGAGCCCGGCTTCGAGCTGCCTTGAGGCAACCCGGCAGGCTCAGTGGGGGCACCCAGCAGGAACAGCCAAGGAGGGGCCTTCCAGATAATTTCTCATTTTCAAACGGTGCCTCCAAATTTTCGGCCCCAAGAGGATCAGAAGCCAGATTCAGTCCCCACTTCAGACAAAAGGAATGCTTCTAATAGGTGGCACGGACCTGATGTTTTTAAAAGGACTATTCTGAAATGTCCTTTAATGTTCAGGCAGAAGCGGAGAAGGAAAGCTCCTGCTCCGAAACCCAAAATACATTTTCAAAAAACACAACTGAGGTCATTTGTTATTATTAAATCTTTACCATGAATTCATCATGGAATAACATTCCACTGAGTAAAGAAAACAAGGGTTGGGTTTTTGTTTTGCTTTAAAAAAATAAATAAAAAATTAAGATACACTCTGGGAAAGGGCTAGAGAGCAGAACCGGTATAGTTGGACACCCAGACCATGTATTCCGGACGCCCACGGCTGCCTGGAGAGCCGGCACCTCTCCCAGACATACCAGGAGGATCTACACAACATCCAGGGGCAGGAGCAGAACCCTGAATGGGTCCTGGCTGAGCTGTGACCGTCCCCTTAGGGGAGCCCATGTCTTCTTCCTACCCCCCACGTACAGCCAAATAAGTCGGGAAGCAGCAGAGACAAACAGTGCATCACTGGGCCTTGCAGAGCCTTGACACAGCTTCCGGTCTCTTCTGGAGTCCCCCACAGTCACGTGCTGTAGAGGCAGCGGAGAGTTTCCCTCGAGGAGGGCAGCTACGGACAGGCTTCTCTTTGGGGGGGCTCACACCCTGCAGTACAGAGCCAGGCCTTGTTCCTGGCTCCGAGCTCAGGGACCACTCCTGGCGCGGCTCGGGGGAACTATACAGGGGTACCGGGGATTGAACCCAGGTCGGCTGCATGCAAGGTAAGAGCCCTACCCAGTGCATTAACCCTTGGGCCCAGCTCCGGGTGGTCCTGCCAGAGAACTGAGCCAACAAAACGATGAGTGACTTGTCCAGGGACACAACTGTCAGCAACAGAGTCGGGACTCAATTCCTGACTTGGGAGAACACGGGGCTGCTCTGCTTGTGGTGTGGCTGGTGCTGTGAGACAGGGTTTCACTGTGAGAAGGCTCACTTTTCTCACACAGCAGGGGGGTAACCATTATGTGTTCTGCACTCCATCCAGGAGGCCCGAGTTGCAAGGGAGAGGGAGCTGCAAGCCTTTATCACGGACACACTAACTCCTGCCAGAGTCTACCATCCTTTCTCAACTGATCATTAGCATCTTCAGGGGATTTTCAAAGCACTTCCTCAAGTGCCTGCAGAGCCACACAACAACCCTGGGAGGTGGGCTGTTGTTTGTACTGTTTGCTTTTCCCACTAATGGAGCAGGTAGAGAAATGAAGTACCTTTTCAGACTAGACATGCATTCTGTCCAGTGGGGGTTGGGGAGGGGAGAAGGGAAGAAAAGGGAGGATTGCTGAATTGCTGTAACTGGAGAAAAGAAGGGCTGGCCAGCAACACACACACACACACACACACACACACACACACACACACACACACACACACTCTAAATGTGATTTCAGAAAGCATGCAAACCAATATTCATCCCACTTCATACATGATTTACACAGTAACTCTACACCTTACTGCACTGATTTAATTTCACCTGGAAATCATTTTTTGATTACCTTCTTAAAAGGCTAGAAATGAGTCAATTCTATCACTCCCTTATAAACACATCTTTAGAAGGAAAGACACGATGGGAGAATCAATGAGTTTTCCTGAAAACTGAAATTACACATCACTGCCAGATCTATTTTTCTAGAGGAGATATTTAACAAACAAACAAACAAACAAACCAGCATCAATGGCTCCCCGTGGCTTACTGATAAAATCCTCACTCTAGGGCTGAGGGTGCCAACGTCTTGTCTTGCCTACCTCTTCAATCTTGCCTTAATTACTGAATTTGACAAACTCTCTGCTAGTCTCCGGTTCTCAGACATGTCACCTTGTCCACATAATCATAATAGCTCACCCGGCAGTGAGTGACCTTTCCCTCCACTGAACTTCCACAGCGCTCAACTTCCTACTCACCAGGCATCTATCATCGCCCTGCTTATTTGTGTACAAGTCTTATCCATCTTATTATTCTGAAAGCCCAAGATTATTTACAAATACACACATCCGAGCAGTGAGCATGCACACACACACAGACTAGCTTAGGTCTTTCACTGTCTATTAAAGGAGGCATTAAAAATTACTTGCTGGGGCTGGAGTGATAGCACAGCGGGTAGGGCATTTGCCTTGCACGCAGCCGACCCGGGTTCGATTCCCAGCATCCCATATGGTTCCCCGAGCACCGCCAGGACTAATTCCTGAGTGCATGAGCCAGGAATAACCCCTGTGCATCGCCGGGTGTAACCCAAAAAGCAAAAAAATAAAAATAAAAAAAATAAAAATTACTTGCTGACATGGCCGACCTGGGTTCGATTGCCAGCACCCCATATGGTCCCCCGAGCACTGCCAGGAGCAATTCCTGAGTGCATGAGCCAGGAGTAACCCCTGTGCATTGCTGGGTGTGACCCAAAAAGAAAAAAAGAAAGAAAAAAAATTACTTGCTGAATAAAATATGCTATGAGGATCTAGCTAAAAAAAAAAAAAAAAAAAAAACAAGGGGCTGGAGTGATAGCACAGCGGGTAGGGTGTTTGCCTTGCATGTGGCCAACCCGGGTTTGATTCTCAGCATCCCATATGGTCCCCGAGCACTGTCAGGAGTAATTCCTGAGTGCATGAGCCAGGAGTAACCCTGGTGCATTGCCGGGTGTGACCCAAAAAGCAATCCCCCCAAAAAAACAAAAAAAAATCTTATAATAAAATAGTTCTTAAAGTACTCAAACCCAATTTGGCTTGAGCTTTCCATATACCTCATTTTCTTAAAACTAGGCACAACACGGTAACACGATTTTTTATACAATATCATCCCACTTAAGGATTCAGGTAACCTAGAAATTTCCATGGCAATTTTTAGTGTCTACTTAGGTCATACTTTAAGTTGCTACAAAAAAAATAGATAAAAAGAGCTTTCCGGTTACAATCACGAGCAAAAGGTGCTATGCAAAATCAGAGTACAATCATGAGTGACTTCTTCACTGGATTTCTCCCTTTTGTTTTTCTATAATTTAATAACATATTTGTACTGAGCCAGTAAGAAAAGCAAGTGATTCTGAGCAGCAGTAATCTAAAGTGGGTAAGATTTATAAGGTACAAACTCAGTTGCTAAGAGACAACTCTATTGCTTTATTTTTCTTCAATATTCCCCTCCTCCGTGGAGAAGTTCTTTGGGCTCAGAAGGAGCAGAAAGCATGAAAAGAGACACAGTGGTCTTTTGTTAATCTCAATAAGTTGTACGAGGATATAGTGCTTTCTGGTTTATAAAGGGCTTCCCCCTGCTCCCCCCATACACACATATATTTCTACCTTTTGACACAAGAAACAGAATTAAATACCAAATGAAAATGAAGCGTGCCTAGTCGGGTAATGGGTCTGAGTGCTTCGGACCCAGGCTATTAGCAACTATTCAGAAAAAAAAAAGGTCAAGACTAAATAGGTGGGGAGGAAGGAAAGGAAATGACTCATTTGTGTGAAGGCAACAAAAGATGAATTTAGAGGAGGAGGAGCATGGTAAGACTCAAAATCTTCAGAACTGCAGGTAGCGAAAGAAATGGGAAATGAGCTTGGATCTGGGTTGAGAGGAGAGGTAGCCAGGAGCTCAAGGAGTGCGGGAGACGGCAGGGAACGGCCCTGGCACAATACCATAGGGGCCAGAGTGGGGCTCATGGGTACTCAGGACATCCTGCAGTGGAGCCTGAACAAAACACCGTCGGGGATTTAGTCAGAAGCAAAATCCATTCACGGCACAGCCGGGCAGCACTGGG